TGGGAATGCTTGCCCTTTTTGCAGGTAATTCCTAACACAACCAGGTGGTGGCAGCATACTGGAGGAGACGTAAGAGAGAAACCCCTACTGCCACACTGTGTATCAAACTACTGTTGATTCAATAAAAAATCCGACAGTAGGAAACAGACAAACAAACCAACAATGGAGAGAAAAAGATCAGGAATTTTAATTATTACAATGAAGTAAATCTTGTGGAATTCTTTGGTTCAATACCTTGGGGGTTATTCTAGATGTGATGAAATCAGCAGATTTCAATAGTGTTCTAATTCTCTGAACCAACAACAACGGGATCATTGGCCTATTACACACACACACAGTGCTTAATGCAGATTTTAGCAGGAGGTTTACAAAATTATGCATGGGATAGAGAAGGTAGAGAAAAAAGTACTCTTCTCCCTTTCTCACAATACAAGAACTTGTGGGCACTCCAGGACATTAAGGAGCAGTAGGCTTAGAACAGATCAAAGGAAGGACTTCTTCAACCAAAGAGTAATTAAGATGTGGAATTCACTGCTGCAGGAAATGGTGACAGCGACAAGCATAGACAGCTTCAAGAGGGGATTGGATAAACATATGGAGCAGAGGCCCATTAGTGGCTATTAGCCATAAGGTATAGATGGAACATTCTGTCATGGACAGTGATGCTCTGTATTCTTGGTGCTTGGGAAGGCAATAGAAGGAGGACTTCTGGAGTTCTGGCCCCACTGGTGGACCTTTTGATGGCACCTGGGTATTGGCCACTGTGTGACACAGTGTTAGATTGGATGGGCCATTGACCTGATCCAACATTGGCTTCACTTACGGTTTTACATGGAGCAGAGGTACATCAGTGGTTATTAACCACAAGGTATAGATTGAAGGTAAAGGAAGAAGGGGATGGCAAAGGATGAGATGGTTAGACAGTGTTATCGATGCAATAAACATGAAATTAAGCATACTCTGGAGGATGGCAGAAGACAGGAGGGCCTGGTGTGATGTGGCCCATGAGGTCACAAAGAGTTGGAATCAACTGTGAGACTGAACAACAACAACACAGATGGAACACTCTGTCTGGGGCAGTGATGATCCATCTTCTTGGTGCTTGGGGGGCAAGAGTGGGAGGGCTTCTGGAGTTCTGGCCCTGCTGGTGGACCTCTGGATTGCACCTGGGTTTTGGGCACTGTGTGACACAGAGTGCTGGACTGGATGGGCCATTGGCCTGATCCAACATGGCTTATCTTATGTTCTTATGTTCATAAATATACCCACAACTGAAAAAAATAATTGCAAACTGCTGCACCCTGTGTTGTTGTTAGATCTGTCGGCCACATTCGATACGGTCGACCATCAGTTGCTAGCCCACCTCCTCGCTGACATGGGGATTCAGGGGCTTGCCCTTCAATGGTTGGCCTCTTTTTTCCAAGGTCGGGGACAAAGGATGGTGATAGGGGATCAGCGGTCTCGGAGGTGGCCTCCCCGATGTTGTTTAACATCTACATGCGCCCCCTTGCCCAGATTGCCCGGAGTTGTGGGCTTGGGTGTCATCAATATGCAGATGACACCCAGCTTTATCTGATGCTGGGCGGCCAGTCAGACTCCACTCCAGATGACCTTCATCGGGTGTTACAGGCCGTGGCTGGTTGGCTCAGACTGAGTCGGCTGAAACTAAACCGGGCAAAGACAGAGGTCCTGGGTCTGAGTCGGATCAGTTCAGGACTGGGGCTCCCTCTCCCGGACTTCGACGAGGCGCCTTTGGTGCCGGCGCCGGAGGTTAGGAGTTTGGGTGTGCTCCTGGACTCCTCTTTAATGATGGAGGGCCAGGTAGCAGCCACTGCCAAGTCGGCCTTCTACCATCTTCGGCTGGCACGGCAGTTGGTCCCCTTCCTCGACCGTGATCACCTGGCTACAGTGATCCATGCAACGGTTACCTCAAGATTAGACTACTGTAACACCCTCTACATGGGGCTGCCATTGTTGCAAATTCGGAAGCTGCAGCTAGTGCAGAATACTGCAGCCAGGCTGTTGATGGGTCTCCCTAGATGGGATCACATCCAGCCTGTCCTGAAAGCGCTGCACTGGCTGCCAATGGCGTACCGGATTCACTTCAAAGTGCTGGTTCTTACCTTTAAAGCCCTATATGGCCAGGGTCCAGCCTACCTAAGGGACCGCCTTTCCCCACATGTTCCCCCAAGGGCACTACAGCCGGGGACCCAAAATCTCCTGGATATTCCAGGCCCCAGGAACATCAAACTCGCTGTGACTAGGGCCAGGGCATTTTCGGTGGCGGCTCCTACCTGGTGGAATGAGCTCCCAGAAGAGATCCGGGCCTTGTGGGACCTTGGGCAGTTCTGCGGGGCCTGTAAAATGGAGCTCTTCTGCCAGGCTTTTTTCATCACCGCACCCTTACCACCGCTGGTGCGGGTACCATCGGGGGTGCGAGACATCCCTGGGGATGATAGGGTTTGTGGGGACATATACGGTCGATGTATTATTATAACATATCTAGAACATCATCTTGATTTTAGGAATTGGAGTGAGTAGTGGAGCACCAATATTTTATTAATTGTATTATGTTGTATAGTGTATTGTATTTTTATATTGTTCTTATTGTTTTTATTAGGCATTTATGCCCCTGTTAGCCACCCTGAGCCTTTGGGGAGGGCGGAATACAAATCCAAAGAATAAATAAATAAATAAATAAAATAAGCATATAACAAACTGGGTTTTGGTTTTTGTTGCTGCTGTTGTTGCTGTTGCAAAGAGTACTTACATTCTTTAAAATCCTGCAAATGTTGCTTTCGACCCGCCCACCCAGCGGCTCGAAAGCCTGTTAAAGGGCAAGTAGACAAATGGGTACCTGCTCTTAGAGCGGGGGGGCACCCGTCCCTCATGGTGTGGCGGCAGCATGAGCAGCAAGGCGGCGGAGAACATGGTGGTGGCTGGCGCGAGTCAAGCGAGCGAGCGGAGGCTGGGCCGGCATGCACGGAGGCGGGGCAACGCAGCAGGCCAGAGCCTATCGGACAGAGGCTGGCAGTGAGCACGCGTGGACGCGCACTTGGCCCAGGCCCAAAGGAATCGCAACGACTGAAGGAAGACCTGAGCCAGAAGGACGTCGTCGCCAGACTGGGAAAAAGATCTCCCGCAGATAACAACGAAGACTCACTAGAAGGGTGCCTGTTAGGCTAGTCACTCTCCCCATTGTATGTATGTGGCCGTAGGTAAGGATTGGTATTAACTGAACATGTAATCCGCTCAGAGCCCTCAGGGGGTGAGCGGTATATAAATTGAAGGAAATAAATAAAATAAATAAATAAAAGATGTTCATGGTATACATAGGGATTACCTAATGCCCTTATATAAATCAATGGTACGACCTCATTTGGAATACTGTGTGCATTTCTGGTCACCACACCTCAAAAAGGATATTATCCCTTTGGAAAAAGTGCAGAAAAGGGCAACTCAAATGATAAAAGGATTGGAACACTTTCCCTATGAGGAAAGGTTAAAGCGCTTAGGACTGTTTTGCTTGGAAAAATGACGACTGAGGGGTGACATGATTGAGGTTTATAAGATTATGCATGGGATAGAGCAGGTAGAGAAAGAAGTCCTTTTCTCCCTTTCTCACAATACAAGAACTTGTGGACACTCAATGAAATTTCTGAGAGGTTGGGTTAGAACGGATAAAAGGAAGTACTTCTTCATCCAAAGAGTGATGAACATATGGAACTCACTGCCACAGGAAGTGGTGATGGCTACAAGCATGGATGGCTTTAAAAGGGAATTAGATAAGCATATGGAGCAGAGGTCCATCAGTAGCTATTAGCCACAAGGTATAGATAGGGACTCTGGGGCAAGTGATGCTCTGTCTTCTTGGTGCTTGGGGGGGGGTGTCAACAGTGGGAGGGTTTCTAATGTCCTGGCCCCACTGGTGGACCGTGGACCTCCTGATGGCACTGGTATTTCTGGCCACTGTGTGACACAGAGTGTTGGACTGGATGGGCCTTTGGCCTGATCCAGATTGGCATCTGTTATGTTCTTATGTTCAATTCTGGATGCCTCACTTCAACAAAGATGTGGACAGAATGGAGTGGGTGCAAAGGAGATCAACAAAGATGATCAGGGTCCTGGAGATCAAGCCCTATGTTGGGAGTGTTTAGTCTGGAGAAAAGGAGGTGGAGAGGGGACGTGGTTGCTCTCTTGACGTATTGGAAGGGCTGTCACATAGAGGAGGACAGGGAGCTGTTCCTGTTGGAAGCAGAGGAGAGGACTCACAATAATGGGTTTAAATTAAGGGTTGGGAAGGTACCGGCTGGATCTTAGAAAAACGTTTTGACAGTAAGAGTTGTTCAACAGTGGAATCGGCTGCCTCCCTGTCAGTCTTTGAACAGCAGCTGGACAAACACTTGTCATGGATGCTCTAGGCTGATTAGGGTTGCCATGTCTTACCTTGGGTTTAGCAGGGGGAGTCCAGGACTTTGCCGGGAGTCTTCTAGCATGCGTGCAAAGTGCGTGTGCCGTGATGACGCCACCCGGATGTGACGTCATCGTGTCGGGCATGTTGGGAGCGGGGCCACAAACATTCGAGAGAAAACCGTAGAGTTTTCCCTCAAATGATAGAGTGTCCCCCCGCAGTGTGATGATGTCACCTCCGGGTGGCGTCCTCGCACCAGGCATGTTTGGCACTTTGGGGGTGGGGTTCCCCCCGGCGGCCCAATCCAGGCCAGTGGGGAACGGGCCTCTTGAGCGGGGATTTCCCCGCCCCCCAGGGGGATTTGGTAACCCTAAGGCTGATCCTGAACTGAGCAGGGGATTGGACTACATAGCCTGTGTGGCCCCTTCCAACTCTGTGATTCTGGGATTCAATATCTGAGATTTTTACAGATATCTAAATTGAAACAGATTACTGGAGTAACCCTAACTGCGACATTATCCCTAACCCTTTGTCTGAACCAGAAACACTTTGATATGTACTTAACTTAAAGCAAGACCAGAAAACCAACTTTATGATGCAGAGTAAGTTTTATTTGTAATGAGGGGGGAGGAGGTATTTGTGGAAACAGTTCTCCAGTAAGCAATTTTGACAGGTCAAAGCTTAAAAGGAACGTAAAGGAGTGACCGGATTCCCCAGAATAATCTTTTTTTTAGAAGAGAGAGACTGCTGGTCTATTTTACATCACCGTCAAAAGTCCTTCTTTACCCGGAATTAGCAATCCAGTTAAGTGCAGATTTCATGAACAGAGTTCCTTCTTCTCGTCCTCTTTGTTCTTTACTCTGCGGAAGAGTGCGTAAAAGGCCCTTGCAGAAATCAATCAATAAAAACAACTTCTCATTGGAGACAGCAGAAAGCAGCATATGAGAAAGTAGGGAAATGTTAGATTTTTTTAAAAAGGATGAAAAGGTCTAGCAGGTGAAACCGAAGGCACTTGGCACCCCTAACCCAGGCCTGTCTTCTCCTCCATGGATTCTGCAGATTTCATCTTTCCTGCAAAGACCGTCCAGAAGAATTTAATGACAGGGTGAGCAGATACTGCCTCGACGCCCAAGGATGGCGCCGCTCCTACCGCCAAAACCATAACGGTGCCCAAGACTTCCAGCCCCAAGGGCCCCACCCCCGAGAAGACCACCCCCGAGAGAACCACCCCTGAGAGAAGGACCCCCAACGACAGATGAACCATAGCTAACAGCACATGGACTGATGCCCCCCACAGAAACTGGTTGACCGGTGGCAGAGAGGATGGGTCCTGGGATGGTCATGACGACGGCGGGTGGCTGGACCACAATTTCGGCAGGTGGGATCTGGTTGATGCAAGAAGGCTCGACCCCGGAAAGCACTCCAAGACTAGCTGAGGGCACCCCACTTGCCGCTAAGGGGCCATATCCAAAGCCAGATCCCTGAGTGTGAAAACCATGACTTGCCGACCCAAAACCGACAACTGGAGAGGAGGCACAGGATGGAATGGCGTAGGATGGTCCGCAGTAAGCCATGTCTGAGTTATGGAGGTGAGTCTGCAAGAATACGGGAGGAAGCAGAAGTAGGATTATGTGAAGGAAATACTGCGGGGCTCTCACACAGCTGCCGCGGAAACAGTGGCCCTACACATTCTAGGTTATAATAGCAAGTGGAATCTCTTTTCGAACAGGAGCTCCTGCCGTGTGACATTTCGTCCACTCAATGTGTTGAGCTTCTGCTTGCAGGAGTGCTGAATTTAGCTGTAAGGTAAGGTTTGTGCCCCAGCAATTTACATTTTCAGCCTTTGAAAGAAATTGGCTCTTTTACTGAGAGGTGAGAAAGACCTCCTTGGGGAGGTAATGTATAAATGATAATCATGTATAGAATTATAAAAGGATTGGAACACTTTCCCTGTCAAGAAAGGTTAAAGTGTTGGAGGGTCTTTAGCTTGGAGAAACGACGGCTGAGGGGTGACATGAGTGAGGTTTATATGGTTATGCGTGGGATAGAGCAGGCTGAGAAAGAAGTCCTTTTCTTCCTTTCTCACAATACAAGAACTCGTGGGCACTCCATGAAATTGGTGAGCAGTCGGGTTAGAACGGATAAAAGGAAGCACTTCTTCACCCAAAGAGTGATTAACACTTGGAATTCACGGCCACAGGAGGTTGCGGCGGCTACAAGCATGGACAGCTTCAAGAGGGAATTAGATAAGCATATGGAGCAGAGGTCCATCAGTGGCTATTAGCCACAAGGTTTAGATAGGGAATCTGGGGCAAGCGATGCTCTGTCTTCTTGGTGCTTGGGGGGTTCAACAGTGGGTGGGCTTCTAGTGTCCTGGCCCCACTGCTGGACCTCCTGAGGGCACCTGGTATTTTTGGTCACTGTGTGACAGAGTGTTGGACTGGATGGGCCATTGGCCTGATCCAACATTGACTTCTCTGATGTTCTTATATTCATATGTGTGAGCTTCAGCCCAATGCTTCAGGTACATGAAAAAGTGGAACAGTTAGATTCGAGTCCAATAGCACCTTAGAGACCAACAAGATTTTCAAAGTATGACCCCAGAAGGATCTTTAAGAACATAAGAGACGCCAATGTTGGATCAGAACAAAGGCCCATCCAGTCCAACACTCTGTGTCACACAGTGGCCAGAAATACCAGGGGCCATCAGGAGGTCCACCAGCGGGGCCAGTTTTGCCTCTTGAGAGCTCATACCTCCCCAAATTTTATTAGTCTGTAGATCGCTACTGGACTCCAATCTAGCCATTCTACTGTTGACCAACATGGCTATCCTCTGAAATTATGAGAATGAGGGCTGAAGTTCACAAAAGTCTATCCTAGAATATATTTTGTTAATTTTAAGAAGAAGAAGAAGAAAAGAGATTGGATTTCTACCCCACCCTTCACTACCCAAAGGTGTCTCAGAGCGGCTTACAAACTCCTTTCCCTTCCCCTCCCCACAACAGACACCCTGTGAGTTGGGTGGGGCTGAGAGAGCTCTGGACAGAAACTGCTCTTTTTCAAGGACAGCTCTTATCAGAACTACGGCTTGTCCAAGGTCATCCAGCCAGGTGCAAGTGGAGGAGTGGGGAATCAAACCCGGTTCTCCCAGAGTAGAGTCCGCTCACTTAACCACTACACCAAACACAGTAAAACACTACCGTTTCTGTTTCTTTAGCTTCAGGTGGGGTAGCCATGTTGGTCTGAAGCAGCAGCACAATGTTGGAGTCCTGTGGCACCTTAAGACCAACAAAGTTTTATTCTGGACATAGGTCTCCGTGTGCACACATACTCCTTCAGATACCATCCGCTTAAAACAGTTGTTAGCTGAAACAGATCCTAAGCTGCAGACCTGCTTTCTGAATTCTCTTGCAAAGACTCTAAAACATGCAAAATAACCCAGGGCCCTACAGATCGTACAAGTTGGGTTGAAGGAACCCGTGAGAGATGACAGACCTCTCCAGATTGTGGCTTACCTGATTCTTGAAGACAGAGAAGACAAGAGATGGAACCAGGATCAGGTGAAGCTGTTTGTGTGCTTCTGCTTGGTCCCCTTTTATACTTGCAGCAGAACCATCAGTGGTGAAGCTTCAGCGTTTTATGCCTTAAGTTTTAATTAGTCGCAATTGTTTCACCGGCATCACGTTCCAAATTACTTTAATAGCTCTAAAGAGCTAGGCAAGAGAAAATAAAAACAGAACAGGAGAAAAGGTACTGTCAGCTACATGTAAAGCACCTTGGACTTTCCAACAGTCCAAGTTACCCCCTCCCCTTAATTTTGTTTATGGGCAGGGGTCATTTTCTGCAGGAGCACACAGGAGCGGAGCTCCGGCAGTAAAGAGCCCAGGGGGCGGGCACATGCAACAAGCCCCCCCTGCTCCCAGCAGCCCTCCGTCAGAGCAAGAAGCGGCCAGGTAAGCTGCAGAGATCCCCCTGGTCCAAAACAGTCCAGTGGCACCTTTAAGACCATGTTTTATTCAGGCACAAGCTCTCCCTCCTCTGCGAGGACAGATCTGCACGTTCTCTCCCCCCCCCCAATAGCTAGCAATCCAAAACAGTCCAGTGGAGCCTGAGCAGTGGGTGTCGCCTTCTGACAAACTTCCGGTGATGTTAGGGGTGTGGCATATGCAAATAAGTTATGCTAATGAGTTGTGCTAATGAGCTCCTGCACCTTTTTTTCTACGAAATGACCCCTGTTTATGGGGGAGCTGTGCCCCTGAGGAAAGAAATTTTCTGAAGTCTTGAATATAACCCCCATGTGGACTAGCTGCATCTCTCTTGTGGGTCTGGGACCTGTTTTTGAGATCGAGAAGACGTGGGGGAAATCAGGGGGAGCTGCAGGTCAAAACGCAGCCACACAGCGAATAGTGTGAAATTGACCAATGCATGCGGGGAAAACAGAAGAGCGAGGACGGCACAGCTTCTTGCGGGGAATCAGCCAATGATTGATTTTATCTTAAAACTCCAATATTGTTGTTGTTGTTCAGTCACACAGTCGAGTCCGACTCTTCGTGACCCCATGGGCCAGCTCCCGCCAGGCCCTCCTGTCTTCCGCCGTCCTCTGAAGTTTGCTCAATTTCATGTTCATTGCATCTATGACACTGTCTAACCATCTCATCCTTTGCCGTCCCCGTCTTCTTTGACCTTCAATCTTTCCCAGCATCAGGGTCTTCTCCAGTGAGTGCTCCCTTCTCATTGGGTGGCCAAAGTCTTTGAGCTTCAGTTTCATTATCTGGCCTTCCAGGGAACAGTCAGGGTTGATTTCTTTTAAGATTGACTGATTTGGTCTCCTTGCAGTCCAAGGGACCCTCAAGAGTCTTCTCCAGCACCATAATTCAAAAGAATCTATTCTTCGGCATTCGGCCTTCCTTATAGTCCAACTCTCGCAGCCATACATGACTACTGGGAATACCATTGCTTTGACCATGCGGACTTTTGTTGGCAGGGTGATGTCTCTACTTTTTATCATGCTGTTTAGGTTTGCCACCGCTTTCCTCCCAAGGAGCAGGCGTCTTTTAATTTCAATATTACCCACCCCCCAAATGGTGTAAAAGATAATAGCTGTTCCAAATTAAAATGTTTTCCATCCCCCCCCCCCCAGTTCAACTTGGAGTTTCGATCTTTTTCTTCTGTATAATGAATGGCCCCTAAATGTGACCCCCACTTTACGGAATGATCTGCCTGATGAGGTGAGGAATTCTCCCCTCTCCTGGCATTCCACAAACTAAGCACAACTGCATTATTCAGGAGGGCATTTTCACAGAGGTAATAGGGCCACATTATAACAACCACACATGCTAAGTAACGCAGTTTCAATCCACCTCAGTGACCATTTGCAAGCGGATGCTGCCATTTCCCACAGTAAAATCCAGTTGCAAAGTTCATTGAAAGTGGATCGAAAGTGTGTTATTTAGAGGAAGTTGACAAATTACTCTCAACTGTACGCTCCACTACTTGCAGACTTGACCTGTGCCCATTGTGGCTAATTAAAGCTGGTCGCGAGGGGTTAGGAGGTGCCCTAAGGGAGATTATCAACGTCCCTCTCCGAGAGACTGTTCCCTAGGGCACTTAAGGAAGCGGTGATATGCCCCCCTTAAAAAACCATCTCTGGATCTGGCCGAATTGACTAACCACACTAATGCAGCCAATGTCACATGGAGATTCATAGTGGTAGCAGTGAGCCTGCATATGGAAACTGTACCAAGAGGGTGACTTATAGTATGAATGGGAATAGAAAGCTTTTTTCCTTTTGATTAATCATATTTTTCTGGTTTTATAGATTTTTCTCCTCAGTAAGATTTTATTAGTATGTAATGAAGTGGCTCAAGTGGTTAAGACGCTGAACTGCAGGCTGTGGAAGGTCAGTAGTTCAACAGTTCAAGACCCGAGTGTGCCGCATGACGGAGTGAGCTCCCGTCTCTAGTTCCAGCTCCTACCAACCTAGCAGTTTGAAAGCAAGAAATTGCAAGTAGATAAATAGGTACCACTTCGGTGGGAAGGTAACAGCGTTCCATGCACCTTGGTGTTTACTCATGCCGGCCACATGACCATGGAAATGTCTTCGGAAAGCGCTGGCTCTTCAGCTTTGAAACGGAGATGAGCACCGCAACTCTAGAGTCGGATTCAACTGACTTTCGAGCAAGGGAACCTTTACCTTTACTTTAATGAAGGCCTGTTAAATAGTAGGCCTTTTCATTTGTAGGTTAGGGTATTTTTCCAGTTGATGCTAGCAGACAAGACAATAACATTATTTTGGTACAGAAGATAGGTATAAAGTTCATGGCTTTTTAGTTGTTTAGGGTAAAACTTTGCAGTGTCTGGGTCGAAAAGGATTTTAGCTCCATATCAGAGAGAAAAACCACCTTTGTTTGGGTATAGAGAATCCTTGGCCAATATTATTCAGGTTAGGTTAAGTAAACACTTGACAATGTTGTGTGGACACACCTTCCTTTACATTTGACCAGTAATGGAACTATTAGTCAGGTGATGCATTGTCTTTTGTAACCAATTATGCTTTTTGAATGTTATTTTCATGACTATGCCATTCCAAGTATAAAGCTCCATGTATTTCCTGATTGTACTGAGAAAGCAATCAATTTTTAATGGGCCGTTTGGCCTGTTTTCCGGTGATTAATTGCAATTAAACACTAAGACCTTCCTCCTCATTTTGACTTCTTCTTCTTCTTCTTCTTCTTCTTCTTCTTCTTCTTCTTCTTCTTCTTCTTCTTCTTCTTCTTCTTCTTCTTCTTCTTCTTCTTCTTCTTCTTCTTCTTCTTCTTTTTTACTGGGATTCTATTTGTATAACAAGATTGGGAGGGTTTCTGGAATTCTGGCCCAGCTGGTGGACCTCTTGATGACCCCTGGATTTTGGCCACTGTACGACACAGAGTGTTGGACTGGATGGGCCACTGGCCTGCTCCAGTATGGTTTCTCTTATGTTCTTATGTTCTTACTGATTGACTTTGGCCAATTACACCCTCTCTTACTTCACTGGGTGGTTGTGAGGATAAGGTGTAGAATGAGAGAACCAACTTAGCCACTTTGGGTGCTTATTGGATATATTATGAATCTAATTTGTGTGTGTGTGTTTGTGTGTGCATCTAATTATGCCCAGAGCTCACTTGTCACAGATGATCATTTTGGTGTTGCTTCATCAGGTGTTGCACATGGTTTTTTTTTGAAGGAGGTAAAACTTATAATTTAGTATTCAAACTACCACTAAATGTTTTGAACACGAGGAGCTCTGACGTTGGGAAGAGCCCTCGTACCTAGAGAAAGGAATGGCTCACCATCAGAGTGAGCCGTGTGAACCAAACCCTTGGGACCAGACCAAATGTTACATTGGATTTGCTTAGTCCTTCTGTCTATTGTCCATTTTAAATTGGGATTTTAATAGTGGCCTCGACGTATTTTATGTATTCTTATGTATCATGGTCCCCATGTAACAGCAGGAACACAGAACCGATTGCTCACATCTTGCTCAGCTGCGAATTTTACAATAGAATTCAGGATGTTCTAATCAGCCCCCTTCTGCACAATAAGCATAGTCTATCTTCAGATTACTTTACTCAGTAGCGCAATTTCTTTCTATCACTATGAGGGTAAGAGAATATAAGGTCAAAGCTCCGGTGGATTGACTGTGCATTGATATTCATTCAAGAAGAAGAGATAAACATACTGAAAGATGTTCCATTTGAAATATGTAAGAAGAGGAAGCAATACAGAAATATACCAACATTCCTTCAAAAGAACAATGTCCAATACCGATGGATTTTACCAGAAGGTCTTATATTCAACTACAAAGAGAAGAAGGAAAAGATTGACTCTCTCTCTAAAGCAGAAACATTCCTGGAGCAGCATCAATCTCCAACAAAAAAAAAAGAAAGAAAGAAAAGAAGCAGAAGAAAAGAAGGTGACAGAAGAAAATAGTGATCATCAGGTGTCAGCCACTGACAGCTCCTCATCTACTTCGGTGTCCCTGGGTGACTGTATTATGGTCTGTTTACATTGTAAGATGCCTTGAGCTCCAAAACATGGAAAGGTGGCTAATGGATGCTTTCAGTCAAATAAATAAATACAAACAGCAACTGCAGGAAATGCCATTTTAAAGAATAGAGGGAGCCCATTTGTGCTCGGAACTGTAGTGAGAGGAAGAGGGCCTCTTGCCTTTCCCCCGCCATTATGATGATCTGAAATGGCCCCCAGTGCAATGTTCCCTCTATTTACCCTGCCCCCCACTGAGTGGAGCAGTTCACATCCTGAGCAGAATAGAACTGCTGTAATCTTAAAATGGGTAACGGGCAGAGCAAGACCTTGAGCGATGGCAGATTGCTGCTGAGTGGGGCTTCCTGTGTTAATGAGCCTGAGCGGTTGCTCATGTGCACAGCTTAGAGGCCAACACTATTACTGGGAAGGGAACTGAAAACAAATCAGCCAGTATCATAATGCCCCTGTATAAATCAGTGGTCCGACCTCTTTTGGAGTACTGTGTACAGTTCTGGTCACCACACCTCAGAAAGGATATTATAGCATTGGAAAAAGTGCAGAAAAGGGC